TTAATTCATCCTTCGTCCTGCCCCACTATCACGAATTTGCCCCACCCTCAAAACGATAAAAGCAAGGGCTGGCAAGTCCACCCCAAACTCCTTCCTAGTTGTGCAGATAGAATCGTACTGAAAATTAGTCCACTCTTAAAAGGTTTCTTATATTCATCAACCTATCTCACTCATTTTGTCTTCTTGTTATGTTAAAAATGTAGGAAAAGTCTATGGCGTATAAACTAATGTAATTTTTATTATAAAATTTTGTAATATTAATTACAAAATATATAATTTTATCACAAATTAGTATAATAAAAAATGTCATAATTAAGCCGCAAATTTTTATAACATCAATCACAAAAAAAAAAAATTTATTTCATTAATTTGCAATAAGATTACATTTTTTATGATTGATATTACAAAATTTTATAATAAAATTCCGTCAATTTATGATCGGATACATATAATATGCACCTCTAAGTTATATTTTCATAACACAATTTGTGATCGGATGAATACTTTTATAATCTCCAATTTTATGCCAATTGATATTACATTTGTTGCGACATGCCTTTTATTCTACTTTTAAAAAAAAATTTATATCTTTATTTTTCATTATTTTTAATTTTAATATTTTGAAAATTAAATATTTATAATTACAATTTAAGTTATTACTACTCCCCTTCTATTTAATCACAATTTTGACCATAAAATGGAATTCTTTATTTACTATATTTAATTTAATGGTACATATTTATTTAAGTTAAACTTTATAGTCTAATAGGTCTAAATTTTGTTTCTTCAATTAATCAAGTTTGGCAAGTTGAAAAAAAGTCAAAAAGTTAAAAAGTTATTCAAAAAGTTAAAAAGTTATCACTATTTATCAAAAATCAAAAATTACGGCTGCACAACTCCCAATTCTAATTTTCCCTTACACACTAATTTATACAATTTTTTAATACACATTTTTTCATAAAAAGTCAAAAAGTTAACCCAAACATTCATATTTTTTTCTTTAATTTTTTAGTTTAAAAAGACAAAAAGTACACTTATTTAGGATACTTCAAACAAGTTGTTGTATACTTTCTTTATCATTTTTTGAAATAATTTATATGGCTTCACATTCAACAACTGTCACGGGCCGACTCCTTTAGAGACACAGCGGATCAATTTTCGCTCTTGTGGCGCTCAAATTCCACCAAGTTTAAGCCCGCCATAGTTCGTTGACAAATCGAGTGTTGATGATCTCACCCGTTTGAACATTAGGGCCCAATGCTTTGTCAAGTAAAACAACTTCACAAGGAAACTCCGTCTTCACCCGGATGCCACAAGTAAGCCTGACGCCTCAAGTGCACCAAGCACGGCATAAGTCGCTTCATAGCACCAAACTTACCTCAAGCAAGGTGCTCGCCCAACTTAGGTTTATGTTATCAAGGTGCCTAGTCACACAATAATGTGCTAGCAAAGGTCCTCAACTTAGCCGACAAGTCAACGTTGCATGTTGGTCTTTAGTAGCATCTCGAAGTGGCCATCCAATATGCATCATCACATTCAAGTATCATTAATTGTGAAATAAATTAAATATTCATAATCACTATTTAATTTAAATAACCACAACTCCATGTTAACTTAATTATATTGGGTGTGTTTGGTTTGTGTTTGTAGAGTAATTTTTAAGATAAAAAGTACGAAAACTTGTTTGGATTGCCTTTTTTCAGAAATAATTTTAGAAAATTGTTTTGGGGAGAGAGTTTTAAAAACAAGTGATTGATTTGATGTGTATGAGAGAGAGAGTGATTTTGAAAAGTAGGTAACCACATAAAATTTTGAGATTTTTTTTTAAAAATTTATTTGGTTTAATTACTCTTAAAAATTTATTTATAAAGAATTTTTTTTAAAAATTTTTTTGAAAAACAAATCAAACAAGGATTTCTTCGACAAAACTAGCCTTCTTTAATCCTTTTATATAATAAAGTAAATAAAATTATATATTTTTTCAATAATAACTATTTATTATTTCATATGTATCACGCGCGTGTACAACTAATTTTTTAAATTTCAATTTTATAATATTTTTTAGTGAACTTTTAAGATTGAAAGGTACATTGATTAGATTACCAAGCCAAACATTTCCCGAACATAAGACCTATAGGCCCGTTTGATTTGGCGTATAGATGGAAGGATGAGATTAGAATAAAGGTGAGATTTATTTAATATTGTGTTTATTTACAGATTTGAGAAAAAGATTGAGAAGGAAGTCTAGATTAGATTGAGCCTTAGAAGAGGAATTGAGATGGAGGAGGTAAATGTAGTATTAGAAAAATAATTTGCCAGACTATTTTTTTATTTTTATTTTTACATGTCGGATATTTTTTTTGAACATTAATGTTCAATTTTTGTATTTTTTGTTAAGTAAAAATTATTATTTTATTTGTTTTATTTATTTATTTATTTTTTATTTTTTACATGGTGGACATTTTTTTTAACATTAATGTTTAATATTTTTATATTTTTTATTTATTTTATATAAAGAGAGTTATGCTATGGATCCCAAATATTATACCAAATCTCTCACATAAGTGTGCGACCCACACACATGTCCCATCCCATGTGAGAGATTTGGTACAATATTTTAAATATATAACATTTTTCATGTAAAAATAATTTAACAATTCCTACATTAACAACTATCATCAAAATAAATATAAGGGGGATGCACCAATAAATCCCAAATTAATAACTTATATACTGTTTAGTCCTAAAAATTTTGTTATAGGCTGAAAGGTCCCATTACAATGTTTCAAACATCAGATTAATGTTTCGAACATTAGATTGATGTGCAAATGGGACTAAATAGAGCATAAGAAAACTTTTAGGACTAAATGGTTCAACTTTTCAAAAACTAAGACTTATGAATAAATTTTCCTAAATATAATTTTATTTAATTCTCCCACTAACAATCTTCTTACTATTAAATTCTATCTGTGAAAACAATCGAGGCAATAAAATAAATTACTAAAAATTTCATGCATTGGTCCATGTTGGCCAATGTGGTCGACCCTACTTTTTCTTTTTCTTTTTCTTTCTCCTTTATTTATTATTTATTTAAGTAATTGTTAGGTTTCTATTGTAATTGTTGGCATGAAGGTGAGGGTGATTTGGGTAATTCGGCAGCCAATTTATTTGACTAAAATGAAGTTATAGTCCAACCTACCTAAAAAAAAAGGCAAGGATTTCAAAGTGCTATTGTGTACACCTTTTGTTGTTTTTTTATTTTTATTTTTATTTTTTTTGGCAAGAAGACAAGCAACTTTTGCTATAGACATACACGAACATAGTGTTTTGTTTTGTTTTTTTATTTTTTTTTTAAAAATAGTGTTATTTTTAGATAAAGGATTTGACCATGAAGAGGTAAAAAAATGAAAATGAAAGGACATTATTTGTGCCAATTCATTTTTTCCCAGGTTAACAAAATAAAAGATCAATTATTTGAGAATTTTAATTATCAAAAATGTTTAAGACCCCCTTTCTCACCCAAGCCCTTTCCTTCCTATTGGCTAGTTTTTCTTTTCTATTTTTTTTCTTTTTCTTCTCCTTCAATCACCACCCGCCACGTGTGTATGGGGATGGTGGGAGTGGTGATTGGAAAGGGTCTCTATCAGTGCTCTTTTATGATTATCCAGACAAAAATAGGAAATTAGTCTCTCATTTTCTTTTGTCTTAAGAATTCCAAGTTCCAAACATTAAATATATATATTTAGACAATTGATTCAAGAGTTTTTTCACTTATATTTTTCACATGACCCAAGCCATTGATGGAGTTATTCTCACATTTATATTATGTTAAAATTATAATATAAATATCAACTTCGCTTTGTTCAATAATATTACAATCTCATAATTCATTTATATATATATATATATTATACATATACATATTCTTTTTATTCTGGTATTGTTATTGGTTTAATAAAAGATTTTAAAAATTTTATTAACTCATTAAATCTTTAAATAAATTTCTTAAATACAAATTGTTTTGAATTTATTTTTAAAATTAGTTTTTTAAAAAATAATTATAATTAAACATATTGTTAAAAAAATTTAAAAACATGTTTTTTATAACACTAATTTAAACTTTTAAGTTATATTTTGAATGGACCGAGCTCCTCTTTAAAGAATGTTGTTTGGATTGGTAGAATCCACGTATCTAATTTCGATAATTTAAATTGTCAGTTTGTAAAATACTTCAATTATTATATTTGTTTATTTTAAAAAAAAATAATTTATTTTTAAAAACATAATTATTAATCACTTTTTTAAAAAATAAACTCAACAAAATAAAATAATTATAATTATAATATTAATTTAAAAATGAAATTTTAAATTATTAAAACAAGACTGATATGATACGCAAATTTTGAAAGTATGATGGTCTGTTTCATGAGTTTGGTATGATACCTGGGGTGACGATAAATATATAGAGAGAGAGAAAAAAAAAAACTATAAATGTTAAAAGGTTTATTAAAAATTTTATTTATGCGGTGTTGGTTGTTAATTTGAGAAGAGATTTAAAAGAAAGAAATATATATATATATATATGAAATTAAAATTTTACTTATCTTTTTTATTTTTATTTTTAAATTTTTATTCAAATCTCTTAATTAAACACAGTATAAATATCTCACATGAATAACCCACATAAAATTAACATTTGATAAAAATTTAAAGGGTAATGTTTAAATGTGCAACTCCCTTAAGGTTATACACCATGTACAAAGTGTAAATGCAAATAAAATGTCGTAAATGCACACTTAAGAAGGTGTAAATGCAAAGGTGCCTCCTATGCCATGAGTAAGGCACACTTAAAAAGAGTCCAAATTTAAAATATTTAACATTACTCGACAAAAAATACATTGAAAAGACTTGTTATCTAAAGAAGCAACAGATGTGGGCCCAGAAGTGGGTCCAGTCCCATGAATTTGCCGGTGGGCCCCCTCCTCTACCAATAGATACGTCTCTCTCCTCCTCCTCCTCCTCGCTCATCATCTTCGTCACCGATCACACACAGACACTCCCCATCACTCTCTGTCTGTCTCCCTGCGTGTCTCAAAAACTCAACACTTTCTCTCTCTAAAACCACAACACATTTTTTTTTATCTCTCATCACAATCAATCAACGCACCACCACCTGAGCGAGTCATGTGTGGTGACTAAAGTGTCGCAAAACCAGAGAAAGAAAGCCAGAAAAAAAGCAAAAGCAAATACTAGCTGAAGTTTTTCTTCTATTGTTTTTTGATACAAGAGACAGAGAGAGAGAGAGAGAGAGAGAGAGAGTACAGCCAATCAGCAAACCCACCTTTAGTTGCAGACTTTTGCAGAGCTAGAGAGAGAGAGAGAGAGACAGAAATTCCAAAGCAGAGCAAAGGGGCTTGAGCTCTGTCTAAACGGCCATCTCTCCAACCCCCCCAGTTACACAATTCCAAAACCCTAGAGAGAGAGAGAGAGAGAGAAACTCCAGCATTTTGTGTTTTGGAAAAGCCCTAGATTCAAAATCATTCGTACGGAATCGTATTCCTTCACTGGTGAGGACTCTGATTTTGTTTCTCATTTCTTGCTATTTTTTGTTTTGTTTTGTTTTGTTTTGTTGGAGTATGTTTTGCGTGAAATTGAAGGAATTCTATGCTTATATACAAGGTTTTTTTGGTGATGAAATGTGATGAGAATATAGAGAATTTGGCATTTTGCTTTTTGGAGCTTGTGGGTTTGCTTTTTTGGTGCTTTTCTTTATGGTTTTTATGCGGTTTGTGTTTTCTTGTGTTTGTGGACCATGTTGTTTTTCATTTGATTGTGAGCCAAGTTTGGGATTTTAAGTTTATTGTCATTGATTTAGTTGCTTGATCGGTGAGATTACTGCCAGTTTGGTAATTTAGGGTTTTATTCTTGGTGGGTTTTTCGGGAGTTAAAGGTGCTCATACTCATAGGTTAGTGAAAATTATGACTATTCCTAATTTTCCTTCTCCTTCACAACATCATATATATACAAGTAAATGATAGATTTACTTTCCCCCAAAAAAAAATATATATATATATATATATATATTTATAGTTGATTAGCTCTGTTTCTTATAATTGGTGGACTAACATAGAAATTTTAGAGTTTAGTGACCACCAATTTTGGCTGCTGCTATTGTGGATTACTAGTCATTTCTGATTCCGATTCCTTTTCCTTTTCCGTTTTCATTTTTATTTGATTTTTAATGTTGTAATGAATAATGCTTGACAATACTAGAATGAATTATTCTCATACTAGGAATTTGAGGGATCCTGATAACAGATCTGAGTGTTTTGAACTGATACAGAAATGATTGAGTGGTTTACTTATTAAATTGAATTCACTACCCATTTGCAGGTTGTTTTGTTGCAAGAGTTCCATGTAATGATATACAGTAATCAGAAATGGAAAACATTCCTGAAACAAAAGTGCTTTCTGGGAAGCTGCCTGCTGCAGGTCAGGCGTCAATTGCCCGCTCAACTTCGGTAAGAGAAGGAATGGGTCGATCCGATGTACGAGACTTAAAAGACTGGTACTACCCTGCACCTGTAAAGACCAGGAAAGGAAAGAACTCTTCTTTGCAGGATCAAGAAGAACTTATGATTGATGTTGTTACATTTAAGGGCAGTGGTGACTCATTTGAGGAAATTGATCCTACTTCTTTCTCTGGGGCTAGTCACCCCCCAGAACCTGTTGATACAGGTCTAATGAGACCAGTCTACGTACCAATTGGTCAAAGCAAACCAGAGGGTAAATACTTGATGAAGAGCTTATCTGTGAAAGGTCCTTTTCTAGAAGATCTTTCAATTCGTGTTCCTGGATTCAAACCAAGCCTAACTGTTCTTTCACCTGCTGAGAGCTTGGTTGACGAGCCAAATGATTTGGGTGCAGTGACTTCACCGTTTTCACTTCCTCGGCCATCACAAAATACGGAAAACACTCTCCTTCCAACAGATTCGGAGGAAAAGGAATGTGTTTGGGATGCTTCTTTGCCTCCCAGCCCATATAGTAGCATTGATAGTACCGGAGTGGTCACAGCTATGAGCATTGTCAATAGCTGCACTAGTACATATCGGAGTGATGGGGTTATGAGTGATGGAATGCTTAGTGTGGACCGGAACTGTGAGAGTACAAAAGGAAGTTTCCGAGGAGATTCATTGGAGAGTGCAAAAACTAGCCTTAGCCGTGTAAGTGATAGCAGTGGCCTCAGTGATGACAGTAATTGGAGTAACCTTACTGGAAGTGCCAATAAGCCTCACAAAGGAAATGATCCTAGATGGAAGGCTATTCTAGCCATTCGAGCGCGGGATGGATTCTTGGGTATGAGTCATTTTAAATTACTCCAACTGCTAGGTTCTGGTGACATTGGCAGTGTGTATCTCTCTGAATTGAGTGGGACCCACTGTTACTTTGCAATGAAAGTGATGGACAAGGCATCTCTTGCAAGTAGGAAGAAGTTACCGAGAGCTCAGACGGAAAGAGAGATTTTGCAGCTCCTGGACCATCCGTTCTTGCCGACCTTATACACTCATTTTGAGACAGACAGATTCTCGTGTTTAGTCATGGAATATTGTCCAGGGGGTGATCTACATACTCTGAGGCAACGGCAACCTGGGAAGCATTTTTCAGAGTATGCAGCACGGTATGGTTTTTGTTTTAAAATTTCTTTGCCATCGGAGCATAATTCTATTCTTAGCTTCAATCATCAAATGCCTTCCCTCTTATGATTAAAGTTTTCGTCCTTTTTTATTTTCATTTCACATTCAACACTTAGCAAATAATCAAAACACTACCTTGACATGACCTGGTTGATTATGAAAACCAGATTATAATCTAGGTACTTGTTTGAAAACATAAAGAAAATGATGATTGTATGTGAAATGAAAACGCACAATCATAATTTAGGTACTTGCTTGACCTGAGTAATGTCGTTCATTGATGATTGTATGTGAAATCATAAAATGTGGGCATTGATCATTTAAATAAGAAGGCAAAATAATTGATAGGAAAAGAGGCTGAAAGCTGTCTGATAACGAGGCCCATATTTTTTATTTATTTATTTATTTTTTAATGTTTGAATCAAATGTCTTCAATTAGTGCAAGTGAACACAGAATTAACTTGTCCTTTAATCAATATTGATTTTTCAATTAGTTACTATCTCTGTTGACCTTCTATGCAGACATTGTTTATGTAACTGTCAATGTTTCCACATCTAACAAAGCACATGTGGGAATTGCTAGAACATTTGTCATTATTAGCTTGACTCTTTTTTCCTTATGTCGTTGCTTTTTTTTATTATTTATTTATTAAAAAAAAGAGTAAGATTGTCCTGATATTACTTACTAATTTACAACAGAAGAACATGCTGCAAAACTAATTGCATTTTGGGGGATTATATTTATTGAAGGGCGGAATTAATTATTATTTCTTTTTTCTTTCATGTTGTTTCCCTTTGTTACAATGTCCAGTCCTGTACCTTGTATGGTCTTACTCTTGTCCTCAGCCCAAATATGTTCATGTTGCATGTCCCCATTTTCACTTGTTTGCATGGTAGTGTTGTTCAGACTTTACTTACCTCTGATTTATCCTTCTTTTGGATGGTGCTGCCCTTTTATAATTTGACTCAAGGCTTTCTCATGCGCGACAAGTGTTTGTAGACCTTTGTAGCCTTCACCACCCTAGTGTGATGGCTTTACGATATCACTGTTGTCTATTGTAATTTGGCTGAGATCTTGGTTTGGTATTAGGCCAGTTGAACACCTCTTCTTAATGCTAATGAAACAGAGATTTCTTTCTTGACAGCTTAATCTCCACCAAAAAGACTGAAACAGGTCTTTTAATTTTGTATTGTTTGTCTCGAAGCAATGTTATTTATCCTAGAAGGGATGAGAAAATCATCGCAATCAGAAGTTTTTTTAGTTTTTTCACATTGCGTGCATGAATTCAGTTTGCATTTAGACATTGTGAAATGTTATGGCTTCTTGCAGCGCTGCTGTGACTGCTTTTTTGCTTGTGCTGTAGTAATCCTTTTTTATAAGTAATTATCCTGTGGTAATCTTGGGTTACTTGCAAAACTTTCTCTAAATGAGCCGTGCATGAACTTTAGTGTCTTCTTTAGTACAAAGATACCTCACTTGTCATAAGCATCTACAACTGCCTCTCTCTCTCTCTCTCTCTCTCTCTCTCTCTCTCTCTCTCTTTTTTTTTTGAGTCAAAAAGAAAGTTGCTCGAATTCTCTCTCTCTCTCTCTCTCTCTCTCTCCCTCTCTCTCTCTCTCTCTCTTTTTTTTTTTTGAGTCAAAAAGAAAGTTGCTCGAATCTTTAGAAGAGAGAGCAAGTCAAACTCAAGCTTTAGAATACATTATAATATCTGTGATGGTAGTTAGATTCCTATTTTAAGTTAGTCACATGCATTCTTAGTCATGCGACGGACATAAAATACTAAAAATTAATAGGATTGCAAGCTAGGACAGGTCAATCCAATACTATTTAGAAGGTTCCTTTTTGCAAACTCATCTTTTGTCATATTTCACCTATGGTTATTCCTGTTTATTACTGAATGTTAACGATTCTCGATTCAAAAAATTAGTATTTTGATTTCCAATACAATTCTCAATTTGACAGCTATGGTATGAAGTACATTATGTTTCTTCTTAGAAGTAAAATGTTTTGGTTAGTCTAACTCTTTACTTAGCCATCAAAGTAATAATGAAGGAAAATCTTGAAAGAGAAAACGAGATTGTGTAATTATGTTGTTTCCGTATTTTAATTATATTCAATATTTTCTGTGAACAAGGGTAGTAATTATTGTCTTTCCTCATGTAACCAGGTTTTATGCTGCGGAGGTTCTGTTGGCTCTCGAGTATCTACACATGTTGGGAGTTGTTTATAGGGATCTAAAACCAGAAAATGTCCTCGTACGTGATGATGGGCACATAATGCTCTCGGACTTTGACCTTTCTCTAAGATGTGCAGTTTCGCCCACCCTCATTAAAACATCATCATTCGACTCCGACCCTTCCAAAAGAGGAACTGGAGGTGCATTCTGTGTCCAGCCCGCGTGTATCGAGCCCACATCAGTATGCATCCAACCTGCATGCTTCATTCCCCGATTCTTTCCCCAAAAAAACAAGAAAAAAACCCGAAAACCCCGTGCCGAGCCCGGAATAACAACCCATACGCTACCGGAGCTTGTTGCCGAGCCTACTGCAGCCCGCTCTATGTCCTTTGTTGGGACCCATGAATATTTGGCCCCTGAAATCATCAAAGGAGAAGGTCATGGTAGTGCGGTTGATTGGTGGACGTTTGGCATTTTCTTGCACGAACTTCTATACGGTAAAACACCGTTCAAGGGTTCCGGAAACCGTGCTACGCTCTTCAATGTGGTGGGTCAGCAACTCAGATTCCCAGACTCGCCGGCGACAAGTTACGCGAGTCGGGACCTGATCCGGGGCTTGTTGGTGAAGGAGCCACAACACCGGCTCGGAGTGAAGAGGGGAGCAACGGAGATCAAGCAACACCCTTTCTTTGAAGGTGTGAATTGGGCTCTGATCAGGTGTAGCACACCCCCAGAGATACCGAGACCTGTGGAACATGAGATGGCTGGGAAGTTTACAGCAGTTGAAACAGTTGGGGTCGGTAGCAGCAGCAAAAGGATGGTTGGAGCAGACGTGAAGCCAGGGGGTAAATATTTGGACTTCGAGTTCTTCTAGGTTCAGGGTTTATGGAATTCATGCCCCACGTTGTATTCGCATCATTAGGTAATTCTACAAGACTTTCCTGCATTACCATGTTGGCTAAATGCATTTTAACCCAATGATTATTATCTTATAAAGTAAATTCTTAGTTGCAACTGAAAAATTATCGTTGTCATCAAATTCGTGGTTCTTGATGGGGGTGTTTGTTCCCCATGATATAGAAGAAAGATCCTATAAATCCTAAACTCATGCTTGTCATTTTCATTGGAGTTAGTACTGTTGAATGCATTTTACAAAGAATGTATGTCCTTTTTATCTGCTAATGTTGGCTTCTTCTGACTCTATAATGTCCTTGATTAGTAGATTTATGGGGTTGTTGTGTTGAATGATCTTTGTAATAATGGCAATGTTACGTACCTCGAATTTGATCTTGCCTCGAATGGCTCAAATTTTGTTTTATCGGTTGTCCAGCCAGTCATTCGGTAAAAAGGCCGACAGCCGCGGTCGACAAGGTGACAACCGTGGTAGACAAGTGATTCACCCAGTCGTCTGGGTGGTCGTTCGACTGGTCGACCGGTGAACACAAATTCAAACGATTCGAGACAACTCAATTCGAGGCAGTAAGGATTTTCCTTGTAATAAATGCAATGGATATATAACTATAGTGAGGTTGAGCATGTCAACCCTTGCTCTTTCCTTTCTAGTTCATTTTTGCACAACAGATCATTCGCATATGGGTAAATTACAAATATACTCTCTGAGATTTATTTAAAATATGACTTACCCTCTATGATTTTGAAAATTATATCTCATCCCTTGACCTATTGAATTTCATAACAATTGGCCAATTTTATTAATAAATTATCAAATTAATTAATAATTTTTAATGATATGAAAAATTTATTTCAATTAATAATTCATGTAATTTTATTATTATATAGGAGAGTAGTTATATTTTTATTTTTTTCAGTTAATTCTATTAAATAAAAAATAATGATAAAGGGTATATTTGTAATTTTTTAAATCACAAGAGGTAATATGTATTTCAAGTAAAATTCAATGGGTGTATCTGTGATTTATCCATTTCAAAAAAAAGAGAAATGAGAAATGAGAAATGAATGTTTTCCATGTGTTGTCTACATATGTTTAATGGAGGAAGGAAAATTGTGTAGGAAAAGTGGGGGTGCAACTCGGACGGGTTGGGAGGTTGTTCAAGTTTAGTTCAAGTTGTGTTGAGATCTGTCCAAGTCTGAATTGTAATTCGAAGTTGTCTGCCTAAGCCCGACTCGAGTTAAACCTAAATTGCCTAAGTTGCCCGAATTGTAAATAAATTTCAATTTTTTTTTTTTGCAACTATATTATTAAATTATTAAAATTTGACTCTATTTATAATTTTTTTTTTAATATCAAATTATTAGTATCATCAAAACAAATAATTTATATAATGTAAGAGAGATGTCACTATAGTAGACCTTACAATTTATGAGTGAAAATAAAATAAAATAAAAGTAAGATTTTATGTTATTTGTATATATAATATATATTCAATATGATTTAATAATATAAATTACTTTAATATCATGTAATGACTAATAATTTATACTCCATCCGTGCCAAAATATTAGTCCCTTATTCTATTTTTTATTGTCCCAAAATATTAGTCACTCTTAAAAAATCAAGTATAAAAATAATATAAATTTCCTATTCTGCCTTTCTTTTAAATTAATAAACAATATAAAAAGTATAATTATGACATTGATATTCTCAAAAAATGTACTATCAAAAGGGTAATTTTGGAAAATTAACTTTTTTCAAATGTAATAATTGTACTACCAAAAAAAGTTAAATTTCCAAAATGGACTATTATTTTGAGACAGAGAGAGTATGTATATTTAATATTTTTATATATCTATATTCGTATAATTTGGGTTTCGGGTTGTTTGACGTCTTTGTCGAAACCCGCCCAAATTTAATTCGAGCTTCTGAATTTTTGCCCAAGCTCGTATCGAATTTGAAAATATTTTATCCAAGTCCTAAAATAATTCGGGCTGGACTCGGGTTGCTCGGGTTGAGCGCGCCCAAGTTGCACCTTTAAAGAAAAGGAATTAAATTAGGCAAATAGATCCTATAAGAAAAATTTATCATAAAAAAAGTCACTAATTGCCAATTTTTAAAGACACATATAAGAAATTGTCACAAAAAAAATTATTTTTAACAACAATTTTATCAAAATTTATTTTCAATAAAATTTAATGAAAATTAAGTTTAACTATTAGGACCTATTGATAGTTTACTTTTAATATTATTCTCTTTTATTTTTATTTTTTTTATTACCCATCTCTCCTCACTTAAAAGAACATAAAGGATATGTATACGACCCAGTTATGTGATATGAGAGGGAACCGTTGGATAAGTGGCCTTTACATGTGAGGCGCAACGATTTACCGGTTGCAAGACCACATGTTATGACTAATTTTTAGGACAAATATTCTGTAGTTTCACTACGTGTTGACAGGGTGTTCTTGAACTAGTAAAAAACGCATCGTCTTGGTTGGTTTGGTAGGAAAAAGATAAGGTCAGCTTTTATTTATTATTCACCCAAAAAAAAGTTTTTATTTATTTATTTCTTTTTTTGAGAAAAAGGTAAACAATATTCATAAATGAACATAAACATAAGTTCTGTTTGGTGTAACTGTTAAAACAGATTATAAATTATAACATAACAGATTATATATTATGACTTTAATCAGAAGTCGTTAATCTGTTTGGTATAACTGTTAGATTATTGATTTAAATTACTGAGTAGTGTTTGTTAAATAAGTTGTGAAGTAGTTTTTTCAATTAATTTTTATTATTTATTATTTGTCTACATTTCTCATAAAAAATAATAATAATATTTTATAATCCATTTGGGTCTTTTTCTATTTTTAAAAAAAATAAAAAATAAAAAAATCTAAAAGTATAACTGTGAATTAACACGTCCACAGCAAAAGTTGATAATCAAAAGTAGGCCTGTAAGTGAATCGGATTCGGATCGGATCTGTCAAAATCTGAATCCGATCCGATTAAGACAAATCTGAATCCGATTCGAATCCATTTAGTCCATATCCGATTATAGATATCCGAATTCGAATCCGATGATTTTGGATATCCGATCCGATAATCTGATCAGATCCATTTATTTATTTATTGAGCTATAATTTTATATAATTTGATTTTTTTATTTTTATTTTTTAATTTTGTGTTTTTTTCATTCAAATTGAGAATAATCGGATCGAATTATCGGATCGGATCGGATTTTTGCATATTCAATCCGTTTAATAAACGGATTAAACGGATTCGGATTATCGGATTATCGGATCGGATTTTTTTGTAAACGGATTCGGATTCGGATTATCAGATCGGATTCGGGTTAAATCCGATCCATTGATAGCCCGAAGAAGTAAGGGGTGAGCAGCTTTTCAGAATCAGCTTTTTTGACTTAAAATAAGTTGTTACAATCAGAAACTATTTGAAATAAGTTTAACCAAATAGGCCAAAATAATTTTTTAAAAGTCAGAAGCCATAAGTTATCTGAAAAAAGCCCCACCAAACACCCCATAATCTTTCCACATACAACAAAATCCCAAACTCTTAAGAAAGAAAAACAAAAAAGTTATGATTATAAATTATAACTTAACAGATTATAAATTATGACTTTAATCAGAAGCCGTTAATCTGTTTGGTATAACTGTTGGATTATAGATTTAAATTGCTGAGTAGTGTTTGTTAAATAAATTGTGAAGTAGTTTTTTCAATTAACTTTTATTTTTTATTATTTATTATTTGTCTACATTTCTCATTAAAAATAACAATATTTTATAATCCATTTGGGTCTTTTTCTATTTTTTTAAAAAATAAAAATAAAAAAATCGAAGAGTATAACTGTGAATTAACACGTCCACAGCAGAAGTTGATAATCAAAAGTAGGCCTGTAAGTGGATCGGATTCGGATCGGATCTGTCAAAATCCGAATTCGATCCGATTAAGACAAACCTGAATCCGATTCGAATCCGTTTAGTCCATATCCGATTATAGATATTCGAATTCGAATCCGATGATTTCGAATATCCGATCCGATAATCCGATCCGATCTATTTATTTATTTATTGAGCTATAATTTTATATAATTTGATTTTTTTATTTTTATTTTTTCATTTTGTGTTTTTTTATTCAAATTGAGAATATTCGGGTCGGATTATCGGATCGGATCATATTTTTGCATATTCAATCCGTTTATTAAACGGATTAAACGGATTCGGATTATCGGATTATCAGATCGGATTTTTTTGTAAACGGATTCGGATTATCGGATCGGATTCGGGTTAAATTCGATCCATTGATTGCCCTAAGAAGTAAGAGGTGAGCAGCTTTTCAGAATCAGTTTTTTTGACTTAAAATAAGTTGTTAGAATCAGAAACTGTTTGAAATAAGTTTAACCAAATAGTCCAAAATAACTTTTTAAAAGTCAGAAGCCATAAGTTATCTAAAAAAAGCCCCACCAAACACCCCCGTAGTCTTTCCACATACAACAAAATCCCAAACTCTTAAGAAAGAAAAACAAAAAAGCTATGATTATAAATTTTAACTTAATAAATTATAAATTATGACTTTAATTAGAAGCCGTTAATCTGTTTGGTATAACTGTTGGATTATAGATTTAAATTGCTGAGTAGTGTTTGTTAAATAAGTTGTGAAGTAGTTTTTTCAATTAACTTTTATTTTTTATTATTTATTATTTGTCTACATTTCTCATAAAAAATAATAATAATATTTTATAATCCATTTGGGTCTTTTTCTATTTTTTAAAAAAATAAAAAATAAAAAAATTGAAGAGTATAACTGTGAATTAACACGTCCACAGCAGAAGTTGATAATAAAAAATAGGCCTGTAAGTGGATCGGATTCGGATCGGATCTGTCAAAATCCGAATCCGATCCGATTAAGACAAACCTGAATCCGATTCGAATCCGTTTAGTCCATATCCGATTATAGATATCTGAATTCGAATCCGATGATTTCGGATATCCGATCCGATAATCTGATCCGATCCATTTATTTATTTATTGAGCTATAATTTTATATAATTTGATTTTTTTGATTTTATTTTTTCATTTTGTGTTTTTTTCATTCAAATTGAGAATAATCGGATCGGATTATTGGATCGGATCGGATTTTTGCATATTCAATCCGTTTAATAAACGGATTAAACGGATTCGGATTATCGGATCGGATTCGGGTTAAATCCGATCCATTGATAGCCCTAAGAAGTAAGGGGTGAGCA